TGATACGACCAATCTGGACCAAATCTCCACGTACCACTGATACGACCAATCTGGACCAAATCTCCACGTACCACTGATCTGGACCAAATCTCGCTCTTTTCTCGCTGCCGATCCTACATGTTATTTATTACCTTATCGCAATGATCAAACCCTGCCTATTGCATATCGTGTAACCTAATCGCAGAAGCTCTGCACTGCCTATTCAATATAGTACGAATCTCATTCGAAACATTTAATTTAAAATAATTCCATTGTGGTAGACTCTGTTGATATGTGTGACCTGATTCTGTCAGTTCTTCCATAAATATACATTATAACTTATATTTTATTTTTTTTTCGTAACAAATCGATAGAAACTATACTGTAAGGTATGAATTTTATTGAGATGGCTTTGCAAAAAAACACCTTTTAAACTGTTATATATTGTAAGTTGTGCAAAAAGTTTTCGGTAGAGAGTTACGACTATATGCTATCGCTTGTGCAGAATGTTTTAATAACGTGACGNTAGGTAATTAAATGAGATGTTGAATTTTCTTAATTTTTAGTTAGGAAATAAATGCAGACATTCTTTCTCTCCAATATTTAGCGTCCCATTCATGAGCAAGCGATTTCAGTTGTAAATGTCTTCTACATTAGCAGGTTTATTGATACCTACACTTTTCGTACGCTAGGATAAGACTTGTTCCTTGCTTCCATGAGTGCGATTGATGATGTAACATTCTAATATTTTAACGATATGTACGTCGTGTATTTTCACCTACGTTAATTTTTAAATTAATCCTAGTTTACGAAGATGTCGTGTTAGATGGACTTAAATGGACACCCTCCATTCAGTAGCTGTCACCCATCCCAGCTTCATCCTGCAACTACGATCAATTGTAGTATAACGTACAGTTTTTACGTACACAGTTTGATTTGTTTCATGTTAACATCTAATTTTGTTGAATTTAAGTCCTTAAGTGGTGTGTCCCGAGTTAGATAACCTACGCGTATTTACTGTATCTGTTTGTGAATTGCGATTCAATCGATCCCTGGATACCCACACTATGTATAGCCTTGATCATCAAAAGGAATTGGTTTCATTTTACATTAATTTTTTTGTGGTCATCGCTGTTTTTTCTGTTTTTAATTTAGTTTTTACCAAATGTCCTGAAATGGAGGACTTGAGGTATCTTGTATTCCGATTCTATAATAACAAATTACGGGGGCCATTAGTATTTTACTTTACAATTTCTTCTCATTAGTGTTCCGAGTCGTTCATTTCTGAGAAACTTCGCAACTTTCCATTAATTTACAATCGCGCATCTGTTTGAAATATTTAATACTACTAATTGTAAAAATTTTGTAAAAAAAGGCTGCGTATCTTATTTACAATCTTTTCGTCTATCCTATGTCACGATTGATTAACAATTCTTAGGTTACCTCGACTAGATGACGACTCAACGATAATATTAATTTTAATTTCTTTATATTCAAAATGAACATATCGTCAGGCAGGCAGTTCGTGTAGGCAAGGCAGTTGTGGGACTAAGTTGTTTAGGCAGGTCAGTTGTGGGGTTAAGTGAATATGTAGGAAGATTTATTGCATTTATTTTCTCAGTCTCTCTCGTGCGAGCAACCTCTTGTGAGAGCGTCTTTGCTTCTGTTGCTTTTCCTTGGCCTTTATTATTCTTTTGTCTCTTTGATATGTTAGAACTGCTCCTCTCTTTGTCAGCCTCGGTGGCCTGGCCAATTGAGGCGTTCTGCCTCTTGCGGCGATGAACGATTTTTGATTTAAAAAATTCGCGTTTGTTGAGACCTTTCACCTCGTTGATTTTCATGCTTGACTTCGAATGCGAGGTAGCTGCGAGCAGTTTAAGCTCTACTGCACCGTGTGGGCATTTAACTAAACCGACCTCAAAATAAATAGAAAATTTGTTCTGCTTCCATCCTTTTCAAAATGTAATTCTGGATTTCATGTCTACGACGCATTTTTTAACCTCGTGCATTCAAGTTTCGGAAGAAAAGTGGCCTGGACTTTGAGAAGTAATTCGTTGGGAGAATTGATGCAGTTTTAAATTTCATTTTGCAGTAATTTTTCACTATGGGATTTAACTAGCGTGTTACACGGGGAATATTTTAGGGCAATGTTCAAGGCAATTATATATGCGCATGTTTATTATTCACTAATAGAGACGAAAAGGGCTTTTGAAAGCATGAGCTTTGCAGATGTACCGCGCAGAGCACAAGCAAGCTCGTCTGTAGCATGTTACATGTATGGCATTTGTCAGTTTGAAAGACATGAAGCAAAAAGTTTAATCGTCAAATTTCAGAACATATCCATATTTCCCGCGGCCCTCAGTAGGGTCGTACTGACGAAGGCTGAAACCAGGGAAGACTTCATCTGAAGAAGATTTGACGCTGGTGCGTCGCACGGAGCTTCTGACTCCCGCAGAGCTGGAGAAAGAAGACCTAGTGCCTGATGAAGTTGCCACACCGGCATGACCTGCTCCTGCAGAGGTGCGAGACGAGTGAGCTGACACTGGTGCGTTGAGGGTTACAGACGGCACGACACTCGCTGGACTGGAGTGAGAAACAGACCCTAAGGTTGACCTGTGTCCTGTCGGTGCTGAAAGCTTGGTCTGTGTTTGGCTGGAGGTGGAAGTGATCGAACTGCTTGCTCGACGCTGGCCGGGCGTTGCGCTGACTTCTTCGGTTTCGAATCCGATTCCTTTGCCGGCTCGGAATCTGTAGGTCCTTAGAATGTTATCGTCTCCGAGAACGGAGTAAGTACCGACCACGTTGCCGTCTTCGTCCGCGGTTTCCGACCGAGAATAAGTGTCGGAATCAAAACCAAAGTTGTACGAGGCGTCAGAGTCGGAATCAGCCAGAGGGTCGATGAAAGTGACCTCTTTCACGGGAACGATTCTTCCAGTTACTTGTCCGGTCGGGGCACCGGGAACAATTGGACCAATGGGAAGATGAGCTCCTTCCGCGATGAATCCAGTTGATGATCCAGCCTCATAAGTCACGGAACGATCCTCGCCATCATCATCCGCTACGAAACGGAACTTTCCGCGAACATTGTTGTCATCATCGCCAGATTCTTCGCGAGCGTGGCTCGAGGTTTCGTACGCAAACGAATAACTACCTGAAGGCGACTGCGACGAGCGGGTGTTGGCTGCCTCGAACTGACGCGTGGAGGGCCTTATTCCAGACTGAGACTTTTGGGCAGCGCGATTGCTAGCGGAGGAAGAAGATTGTGTTGACTGCACGGCAGGAGCAACCGAGGCTGTCTGTGTAGGAGGGAAGTAAGTAGCGGCTGGCTTCGGGATCTTGTGGGATGAGGAGGCGCTGCTATGAGAAGCCTTACGTTGGGTGGCACTACTGCTGACTGCTGCAGCTGGTCTGCTGGCTGCTGCTGGTCTGCTGGCTGCTGCTGGTCTGCTGGCTGCTGCGGAGTGGGATGCAAACGAAGTCTTCTTGGCAGACAATCCAGGAGTGGCACCCGCGCTTCTGTGCGTGGCAGCGCGCTGAGCTGCAGTAGCGGCGCCTTGCGGCGCTCCAAACTGAGTCGTTGTGACGTGTGTTGGCAGTGGCTGTACTGGTTGAGGAATATCGTCACCTTCAATAACGAAACCAATGCCTTTGCCTGCGCGGTAAGTGTAAGTTCTGGTGCGTCCAAACTCATCGATGTAACTGTAACTGCCGCGCACTGTTCCATCGCTGTCGCTGACTTCGTTGCGGCTGTGTTCATCGCCAGCAAAGTTGAAGTTATAGGATCGATCTCCTTCAGTTCCAGCGAGAGGATCCACGAAGGGCGCCGCAGACCGAGCTGCTTCGAACGCAGCAGCGACATCTGGATGAACCTGGGGAATGTGAGCGCCCTTGGCCACAAATCCTCCAGTGCCTGACGTGTACTCGATGTTGTACTGTTGGCCATCTTCATCCTTGTAGCCGAACTTCCCTTGCGCCTCCCCAGCAGCGTTCGTCTTTAACGACTCGAAGGCGTCGGCGCCGGTGTCGTAGCCGTACTTGAAGGACCCGTCGTCATGCAGGACGTAATATTGCGCCCTACGGTTGTTGCCCACGTCAGGGATGTCGTATTCGTCGGGGAGAGGAGAACTCTGGGCAGCGGCTGCCACGAGGGACAGTACCACCTGTCAAGGGAACGAAGTTGAAAATGAGTTTAGAAATTCAAAAGAAGTTCGCGACTCCCAACAAAATTTAGAACTTCACTATATATACAGACATTACATTCAAAGGAAGTTAAACAATCCAAAGAAGTACATAAATTTCAAGGAAGTTCAGACCTTCAAAAGATGTTAAGAATTGTAAAATAATTTCCAAACTTCAAAATAAGTTCAGGACTTCAAAATAAGTTCAGAACTTCAAAATAAGTTCAGAACTTCAAAATAAGTTCAGAACTTCAAAATAAGTTCAGAACTTCAAAATAAGTTCAGGACTTCAAAATAAGTTCAGAACTTCAAAATAAGTTCAGAAAATATTGCGCCCTACGGTTGTTGCCCACGTCAGGGATGTCGTATTCGTCGGGGAGAGGAGAACTCTGGGCAGCGGCTGCCACGAGGGACAGCACCACCTGTTAAGGAAAAGTTTAGATGAACTTGAAAAGAAGTTTAGAAGTTCAAAAGAAGTTCATGACTCCAAACAAAATTCAGAACTGCAAAATACTTACAGACATTCAAAAGAAGTTCAGACCTTCAAAAGATGTTCAGAATTGTAAAAGAAGTTCATAACATCAGAAGAAGTTCAGACCTTCAAAAGATGTTCTGAACTTTAAAACAAGTTCTGAACTTCAAATAATTTCATAACATCAAAACATGTTGTAAAATAAGTTCAGAACTTCAAAAGACGTTCAGAACTTCAAAAGATGTTCTGAACTTCAAAAGTAATAAAAGAAGAAAACTAGCAGAACATTGAAATTCTCTATGATAATTGTGCGTTTTTCTTGAACGCAAGTTCCAGAATTAGATTTAGCAAGTGGACACCTGTCGGTAGCTGTAGTTACCAACTTCCCAGAAACGAAATTTTTACCATAATAACTTCGTATGATAATTTAACAATAATATGGTAATAATTTAGCATGATAATTTTACCCGTTAACATGAGTTGCTTGATATGAAAATTATTTGCAAGCAAGGTGCTGCATGATTGGATAAGTTTTGAAGTTGGGAAAATCCCTTAAACCGGAAGTGTGGCAAGATTTCTTCCACTAAATGAATGTCAATGAATTATATCATCTTTGTTTATGTTCTACTATTTCTTTTAACATCACTTCACAAAGTAACTTTTCAGTTCTAATATTAGTTGAATACAAATTCATTTTAAAAGGATGCTAACGTTAGCAAGTCTAACTATGGTCGGAAATCAGAATTATTAACGATTATAGTTCGTTGTAAACTTGAATAATGTTAGGGTAAAGAAGCAACGACATTTTAATTTATTTCTATATCACTCAGCTGGCATTTAGATTCTTTACGCATCTTATCAAGGTTCTACGTGAGTTAAACTGTTTCAAGGATGTGCCATGGAGATTTGGTTTTATAAATTAAGTATTAAATTGTTATTCCTGAGCCTGTAAAGCTGTCACTGGTATCGCGTCTGCTATACGAAGGCGTAATTGAAGTCTGAATATCGTTCGATATAATTACAATTAAATTGATGACAAACGTGAAAGTTTCCATCTCGAAACATTTTATCATTTTCTATAAGTATCCCCTCGCAATTAAGTATGGCATTCATGAACCATTTAATTTGTATGATGGATATGAATCATTTGATAAACATATTTGATGAGTATTGTTGACTCGACCATGAAACGAATAGTTTATGAAACAACATACTCCGTGATTTTGATAGACTGCGCGTTCAATTTATGGCAAAAAAATAAATGAATAATATTGTATTTGGATCATTCGCCCGGATATTGATATTATAATTTGTGAAAATTAAGTAATGAATTAAATTTATTTCTGACAAGAATCAATATGATTTTTTTGGAGGCCATATTCACGAGAACACATCGTTTTATCAACTCAAGACCACAAATGTTAATAGCTATAACAAAATATACGCTACACAGTACCCACACATCTTTTACTTAAAGAAATTTGAGCTTGTGTTCTAGACGAAACTCTGTCTCTAATATGATTCTATGCAATTGCAAATAGATGTGAAAGAAGAGCTTTTACTAACGGTTAGACTGAATGATATTCAAGGACAAAATGCAATATGATATTATGTAGACTTTATTATATTGTAGAGTCAATGTTATTTGAAATTCATTGGTATGGAGTAGAAGTACACAAAATTAGGCGATTAAAGAAAAATTGTACTCATCGCATATAGTCCCATGACTGAATGCATCACAGAAATTCACACTTGTTTCCCGTACCAAGCTATTCCAGACTCCCATTTTCGTTGAAGTGATAAAGCAAAGGCAAGACGAGACAACGGTGCACCCGATCTTCTCAGCCTCCCGGCACTGAATGACTGCCGAGGCCGCGAGCCCCGCCTTATATAGGCGACCTGGCGTGCCGTGACACGCGTGGGAGCCGCGGCGTCAGGGTCGTTCACAGGGTGAGGTATTTTGAGTATGTGCCTTGTGAGGCAGTCAGTAATGTGAGGTATTTTGAGTATGTGCCTTGTGAGGCAGTCAGTATTATGAGGTGCCATGTGAGGTATTTTGAGTATGTGCTTTGTGAGGCAGATTCAGTATTATGAGGCGCCATGTGAGGTATTTTGAGTATGTGCCTTGTGAGGCAGAGTCAGTATTATGAGGCGCCATGTGAGGTATTTTGAGTATGTACCTTGTGAGGCAGACGATGTAGTATAATGAGATGCCGCCAGCCGTACTCTTGATGAAGCGAGCCATTACAAATTAATACTTTATTTAAAATATATTTGTAAATTTTGCAAGTATTTTTAAAGTGTTGCTCTGCCAATTGCAATTATTTAATTTGAAATTTGATTATTATAAGTTAATGCTATATTTAGCAGGTGACTCTGAATTTCTTATTTATTTAGCGATTTTTATTAAAATATTATTTTATTCAATTTACAATCGTAAATCAGCTACGTAAATATTATAAAATGTCGGTAATATTTCATTCACTGACGACTGCAAATTTAACTTTTAAATATAAGACTTATCTCCACGGATTTTACGAATAAAGTCATAATGATCAATTAAGCTTATTTTTCGTAATGATCAATTAACCGTATTTTTCGTAATGATCATTTAATCTTATTTTTTGTAATGATCAATTAACATTATATTTGTAATGTCAATAAACCTTATTTTCTTAATGATCAATTAACCTTTATTGTGAAGACGTAACCCATTATAGGGCAGATGATGTAATATCAGCCCATTACGAAACTCTTGTTATGAGGGGTGCGGAAATGACTCAGGCTGAAATCCCCCCCCCCCCGCCTTTGTTGCTCCCTCCCCGTTGCTGATGGGGCCCTTCTCTCAATTTATTCATGGGGCCTGGCCCTTTTTCAATGCATTCATGGGGCCGGGCCCTTCTTTCAATACATTCATGGAGCCGGGCTCTTCTCTCAATAAGTTTATGGGGCCGGGCCCTTCTGTCAATAAATTTATGGGGCCGGTCTCTTCTCACGATAAATAAATGAAACCGGGGTTTTCAGTCAATAAATATATGGAACCGGACCCTTCACTCAATAAATATGTGGAACCGGGCTCTTCTCTCATTAAATTTATAGGGCTGGACCCTTCTCTCCTTCCATTTAACAATACGTGAAATATTGTGCGTGTGTTAAAGATGAGAAAAGCTCAGTGCCGTAGTTTCTGCCCTATGGCCTGCGCTAGGGAGGCGGGCTGTGTTGCTCGCTGCTTTCGATGTCGTCGCTGCGAAGCCAAAGTTCAAGCGCAGTTGTCGTCGAGACCAAGAATGAGACGGAAAAATATTGAGGACTTGTTTTGGATTTTATTCTTTAACGTTGTGATCGCATTCAATGTATTTATTTTCATAGAATTGTCCCGAAATAATTATTGTATTCCAGGGACTTATTTTATTTTAATATTTTTTGATACATTGATCGAATTGCAGTTTTTTTATAAAAGTAAATTCGGCCAACATAGTCATGGCATTCAAGGTCTTCAGTTTAATTCTATTTTGTCTATTTAATTAACGCATTCCGAGTTTATATTTTAATTTAATTTTTCCAACGTAATGGTCGTATCTCCTTTTTATTTTGATTGAATTTGACGAATTTGTGATCTTATTTTGAGTTGTATTCTGAATTTTGATCTGTTACTTAAAAGTAATTCTTAATGATTTTCATTCTTATTCTCCAGGGCGCTATTGCTTTCAAGATTTGCATTCAGAATTTGACTTAGCCTAAATCTGCCTATGTAAGTTCTTAAAATTTCAAGTTTTAATTGTTCATATAATTCTCTAGAGCAAATAATTGCAGTATACAGATTTCCAGTTTATTTTTCAAGATCCTACAATACAATTCCATTAGTATAATATTTTTATTATAGTATATATTATACGGGCACAGTATTGTATATAAATTGTTGCATACCAATAATGAATAATTAAATGAAAAATTGCATTATTTATCGATTTCGTTAACCTTATAATCAGATATTACACTTTAAAATATATGAAAATTATTTTTCTGATAGATTCACCATTACTTTATGCGGGCATCGGCCAATGCTATAATATTGTGAATAATGATAGACATTTTGGTTACAGATAGGAATTGCTAGTAAGTATACGCGTTAGCAGTGAAATTCGAGGTTTTACATTCGGGCGTAAACTTCTCTGTTTTTATTATTTCGGCTTACCTGTTATCCGTAAAGTTTATGATTTAAATCTATATCATCACTCCCATACAGGTTTTGTAACGTATTGTTCACCAAGAACTTTAAACTTAATATTTTGATCATTTGACGTCTTTAATACTTAAATTTTTAGTCATTTAGGGTGACTAGAGTATACCAGTGTTTCATTTCACTTCCCTGCACCTCGAGTCTGCTATATGCATCGAGCGAAGTTCTTACTATTTGCTACATACAGAAAATATTATAAACAGTCTTCTGCGCTTAAATATTTGTGAATTTTTCGACTTTTATTTTCTGATCTACAAATATTTGTTACCTATCCGATCTTGAATATTTATCATCGTGATTCTCTTCATTGTCCATTCAATTTCCCTGAAATTAATACCCTACGATATTCTCAACAGAGACTCGTACGGTTGCAATTGATCTATATACGATTGTACTCTGCAATTAGCTTACGATTGTTTACTTAAAACAGTTCGCATTTTTAGCGCATTTTCTCATTTATGGAAAAAATGCGCTATTGTGCTCGCCATGTCCGTCCGTCCGTCTGTCCGTCCGTCTGTCCGTCTGTCTGTCCGTCTGTCGGTCCGTCCGTGACTTCACGTTTTCGTCGTCGAGAAATTGCGCTCTCTGTCACTCACTGCAGTTAGTACTGAGTTATATTTTTTTCATTAACTCCATAGTTCGTCACCATGCCACATCTGCTCGTGAGAGAGTGAATGCGGAGAACAAGCGCCCTTTCCTCGACCGCTTCCTGCACTCTCGCTTTCAAAGGGCATCGCTCAGGTGACAACAACCCGGTAGTAATGACGAACATCTTCAGTCGGTCTTTGTCATTGGTAATTGATGAACCGGTAAACGTTTAAATGTATTATAGGAAACAAATATTATTGTAATAGAAACATCTTCAGTCGGTCTTTGTCATTGGTAATTGATGAACCGGTAAACGTTTAAATATATTACGAAAAAAATATTATTGTAATGGAAATCTGTACATGTAGTGCGTGCATATACATATCGTTGTTATGCAGAGGTTTGAGTGAAAATGTTTGCGCACACTTTTTTAGGTCACGGTTGAGAGGACGGTTTATGGACACGGTTTACTTGCTTGAACGCTGGTTAATAAACCGCTGAGAGTTTGTTTTTGGGTTTGCATACAAATTCAATTGAACTGTCGATTGTGTAGTCGATCTCGATCAGCGCTGCTTGCGTGAGATCATTCATGGTATGGATGACAAGGTTTACGTTAACAGTGTCCAAGTGCTGATCTATTCTTTCCCATCAGGCATTTGCAGTTGAAATAAAGTTGATTAAACGTTATTTCAACGGGAATAATACGTAGTCAACGTAGTTTCAACGTTATTTGACTGGAGGAATGAAAATCACGTGTAATTATGTGTAGTAGCCAGTAGGTTGGGCAACTTGAAATAGCCTTCAGGCTAGCCTACCTGCAATCAAATGGCTTCAGGAGGATGACACAAGGAAGAAGATGGAAATAACCAACGGAACCTCAGCCTTGACCTCCCGGCCTGTGACTTCGTATAGACACGCTATAAGCGCTCTAGCGACATTGCCATCGTACTCGTCCAGTTGCTTTCAAAGTTCCACAAACTTTGAAAGCAACTGAAATGAAACAAATTAAAGAAGCGTTTCATTTCATTAACACGTGATTATGTTATGAATAGATTAAAAGCAAAGGAGGCGCCCATGATTAATTATTTCGGCTTCTTTGTCATTGATAATTCCTGAAGCGGTAAACGTTTAAATATATTACGAAAAAATATTATTGTAATGGAAATCTGTACATGTAGTGTGTGCATATACATATCGTTGTTGGATATCATAGAGTAATCAGAGAAGATATGGTGAATTAATTTTACGTTTGCGTTGCTTTTAGGCAGAATAATGAAAATTAGCACTTCAGCGAACTTGCGTTGAAGGTCTCAACGTAGTAACCCGACGAAAATTTACCATCTAAAATCTCCTAATTTAACAGATTTTAATAAAAATAATCAATTTATGAAACGATTTTGTCTCGGGCTAATCACAATATATGCATCCGCTTTTTACTTATCCACACACCTGTAAATTTCTTCACTACGTAACTTCAATCACAAGTGTTCTTTCAAAATGAACCCTGTACAGCGCCAAATTCAATTTCATGTTTGTTAATTATCACTTTCAATGTACAGTATGTACTAAGTAACACACGCTTAAAAAAATGAGTGGGTCATGTTGATAAAATATCAATTCACTTTCTTCCCCGCAGCCAGCACGAAGGACCCACTGATATTTGCGAGTTTAGCACGTACCACTGATACGACCAATCTGGACCAAGTCTCCACGTACCACTGATACTGTCTCTTATACACATCTAGATGTGTATAAGAGACAGNCTATTAGAGGAATAGAATGTTTACGACTCCATCCTATTAGAGGAATAGAATGTTTACGACTCCATCCTATTAGAGGAATAGAATGTTTACGACTCCATCCTATTAGAGGAATAGAATGTTTACGACTCCATCCTATTAGAGGAATAGAATGTTTACGACTCCATCCTATTAGAGGAATAGAATGTTTACGACTCCATCCTATTAGAGGAATAGAATGTTTACGACTCAATCCTATTAGAGGAATAGAATGTTTACGACTCAATCCTATCAGAGGAATAGAATGTTTACGACTCCATCCTATTAGAGGAATAGAATGTCTACGACTCTATCCTATCAGAGGAATAGAATGTTTACTACTCTATCCTATCAGAGGAATATAATGTTTACGACCATAATCCTATCAGAGGAATAGAATGTTTACGACTCCATCTTATAAGAGGAATAGGAGGTTTACGACCATAATCTATCAGAGGAATAGAATGTTTACGACTCCATCCTATCAGAGTAATAGAATGATTACGACCATAATCTATCAGAGAAATAGAATGTTTACGACTCCGTAGAAGAACATGTACGAAATAGAACATTTACGACTTCATCCTATCCGAGGGATAGAATGTATACGAATCCATCCTATCAAAGGAATAGAACATTTGTAACTCCATCCTATCAGAGGATTAGAATATTTACGACTTCATCATATCAGAGAAATAGAACATTTACGACTTTATCCTATCAGAGGAATAGAATGTTTACGACCATAATCCTTTCAAAGGACATGGTGTTGGTGCTCCGCATCCTCGACGTTCCGCCTCCCCGGACCTAGGCAAGGTCGGCTGCTTCTTCTCACGCCCCCACGAATACTGCACGAAATTTCCGAGGTCGTCAACGAATAATATAAAAAACTGGGTTTCCGTTCGGAAGATACGAGAAATTTAGGATCGTGATTGCTCTACGTTGTTAAGTGATCGATTCAAAATATCATATAGATACACTGGTTTATATATTAGGAATTTTTCGGTAGTATCGAAGAATGTATAAAAATTTAAAGTGATATATTAGCCAATGTCTGAAGTATGAAACTTTATTTGGTATTCAGTTTGGTCAAGAACAGATAGGCTTGCTAAGGTAGTGGGGAATTCGCGACGGTTGCAATTACCTTAATTTTCGACAATTGATTAACTATATACCCGAATTTCGATGTATTCATGATACCATCCACCGTCACAGGTATGCATCTTGTATTCTACGTATAAATAGAACATTATTCTCAATTGAACGACCAAAAGAACGCCTAGCAAAAGAATGGAGCATCGGAAGGGATCTTCGGAGGAAACTTCTGGGTCGTCATCAGGACACAGAAGGAGATTTTACATCCCCATTGAAGAAGAAGCCGTCGAAATTGCTACCTTGGACAAGAGGAAGACCGACTAAGAGAAAGATGTCGGCAGCCGAGAATCAAAAGAAGTGTTCACTTCAAGTTCCTCGCAGCATAACTAAAGCAAATCGGGTAGTTTACGGGAAATATAAATTGCTCAAGATTCTTCAGACACTGGGACGAGGAAACATGAAGAAAGTGGCAGTAGTCGTGAAATCCCAGTGCTGAAAGGAAAGTCATCTTAATAGACAGGAACAACCGACCATCCGCCCTCTTCTCCCCAGGAAAGACTCGTGCGGTAAAAAAATGCCTTGCAAACCTCACCGCTTATGAATAAAAGTTCATTAGACGGCGATGTCAAATGTGCGAAATAAATTTTCATGAATTTGCCGCCGATCATGGAAGACGAACGCAGCAGAAGCAGTGAAAATCGCGCGAAAGTTTCGAGTTGCTCTGAACCTGAATCCGAGAAAGAGATTCGGAAACGTGAGGTCAATGGCGTCAAGAGTAGAAGAGGTAGCAGTGACCTGGTACCCGTGGCCAATCAGATCTAAATGAATTATCACGATGCCAATGAAGGCAACATCAATAACCTTCCTGCAATGGCCGGGTAGTTGATGATGTTGGCACAGGAAACTTTGCTCCAACGCACTGGTATGGGAGGAAATTACCTAAGAAGAGATGAAAAATAGGACACTTTCCCAACCAGACCTCATTTCATGGGCACAATCAGCTCAGTTCCAGCTAATGAACGGCAGCATATTAGCCGAGGCGTCTGTGCTTAACCACGAGAATTCGAACCGTACAGCGCCGAATGTGTAAAGCGTGATGTGCTGCAATGTGAACCCCGGAAGACAGCGCTCAGCGATGTGATACAAGTGATGGGACAGACCGGGGACTGGTTGGTTTTGTGTCAGGACTTGTACAACCAAGGCTACAAGTGCAGCCCGCAGTCTTTAGAGCTGCTACAAGCTGTCCGATAATAGCTGGAAAGTTTGGCTGAATTGAAGGATAAATTTCTAAGTTGTCGAGGACAAAACGAGAAAACCAGTGCGAATGCAAGTAAATAAATTTCGTAGCAAGAAGATTTCGAGCTACTCGCCGGGAGAGTTTTCGGTGAACTTCTTCCCGAACTCGTGAAAATGGACGACAAGAATCCTGAAAATTCAAACTTTGAAGCAATAAACGATATAATGGAAAATTTTGCTTCTCTTTTGATGGTCACTGCTAATTTCTTCGACGGCGTTAAAGCCTCAATGGTAGACTGGATGGAAGAAGTCGAAGTTGAAGTTCGTAAAGTTCAAGATCGATATTCTGCGGAGAAAGAAAAACACTAAAATCTTCAAATCCAGAATGACAGAATTAAAGCCAGATGCTAAAAGAATCAGAAAGAATATTACAAAAGCCTGTTGACGTCGGCGGAGAACCAAAAGCGCCTGTAAAATGAATTTTCGTGCGCCGTGGTCGAAACCAACTCTCGAGAAGCCGAAATTCAAAAACTTGCCAAACAGCTCAAAGTAACAGACAAGGAAATCCAAGAATTAGAGGCTAAAAAGCAAAAACTGGAGCAAGATTTTTTCCGGAAAGAAAAAGCCTATGTGAAACTTTGTCAAAAGTCTTACCTTGCCGACAGGTAAATTCGAAGCTTCAAGCAAAAATATCCCAAAGGCCACGGAAAGCCCCAAGAGCGGCAACACTGTGATCGCAGGGCCAGGAAAGATGCAGAGAAAGATAATACGAAGTGTTGACATGTTGGTTATTGATAAAATTTGTATTATCATGAAAAAATGTCATAAAAATCAAAATGTTAACAATGTTTCGTTTATTTGAATGCCATGAAATCAATGCAGTAACTACATGGTATTAAGTGATTGTTTAAAATATTGTTATTCAGCGTTTAACCATTTACTCGGATGAGCCGGAAATATTTTTTTAATATATGTAACTTTGATTTTCAATAAATCGTTGCGCGGATGCAGCTTTAGGTGCATGTAAAATTTAGAATAATATTTATGATATTTAAATTACCATATGAACTTACACTCAAAAAGTGCTCGATCTAAATTCCGGCTAGTTCATTTATAACTTTGATTATTTTAATAGGATTATGGATTTTAATTATTATGGATTATTTTAATAGGTTCTTCCTCAATAAATTCATCAAAAACTCATTGTGTGTCAATTTATGTTCGGACAATAAAATAAAATAAAATAAAATAAAATATGTCTTCTTACATAATTGTCCCGTAATTCATACTTTTGAAATAAGAAAATACATGTTTTAAGCTTAAGCTGAACTTAGTTTCGTTTCCAAATCCAAATCCGAATCTAATTTTTCTCTTTCAACAATTTTCTAGTATACACTATTTGAGTAACCATTATCACTGTCAATCTGTTTCCTCAACTATCCTTACCTACAAAGTTTATCACATATGTAATTAACAAGTAAAATATGTTTTATATCTATTTTTCATTTCCTTTCAGCATATAAAAAATATTCTTCAACATAACTTAAAAAAATCAATATGAAAAGTAATATACATAAAATTTCCAGCTAATCGTAAGCGATTTATATATCTGCGGTCGTAATCTCGCATTTTATTAAACGAAAAAAAGGAAAGCAAATTAAGTTTTCATACGACTTACAGTTCCTGGAACTGGCAAGGTCGTTGTCATTTACCACATGCGCATCACAAGCAACTGCACTAACTCTCATCAAATGCAGTAACTGCAATGAGCCGCAGTAACCGCAACATTCTGTATTGGTCGTGTCGAGTTGTGATTACTGCACCGTAACCACAACTGGTAACACAGTAACCACAACTGGTAACACAGTAACACAGCAACTGGTGCAGTTACTGAACCGAAACGCACTGCCTAATTTGCACCACTGCATTGCTAATGTGGCAACGAAAAATAAAAATAAAAGAAATCTTGCATTCCAAATGCACGAATTTTCTTTAGCTATTCATAGTATTCCCTATAAAATTTTCCTAATGGAAAAATGATTGTTCATAACTACATGGTTCACCCGATACGGGGCTGAAGAAAATTTTGGTTGCGGTAAAAAAAATTTGGGCACAGCGGTTAGTTTTATATCCCCATTCTAAACAAACCTAAATAGCATACAGTTTTCTAACAATGAATGTGCCGTGTACGATTATTTTTCATTTAATGGGAAATTAAGATTCAAGTAGTTTTAAATTGCTTCTGCGCATTGCTGATGCCATTAGCGCGTAAGTTATTACTGAGCCTGCGCCATCTATAGAGGCAATTAAGTAACTGATGGAAATGTGATTACATGATTGAATTGGAATTAATAAAGAAAAACAGTGATTAATTCGACCATGTATTCACAGAACTAAGTAAAAGCAGTTTTTTATGTTATTGGAACCAAACTACTTGTTCAAGAATGCCATGTTAGTGCCTCTTGTGAGTGTACGAACCCCGAGTGAGCTTTTGGAAAACTGAATATATATATATATTTTGCTGGAGCCTTTTTGCCGATTTTAAACTACTGTGAATTGCTGTAAGGCCAGTAAATTTGATTGACCTTTTTACATAAAAAATCATCTAGAATTTATAAGCAATCAGTGGAATTTAAATTATTTTTGTTCTTATTTTATTCTGATGAAAAGCAAATCACTGGAATTATCGTCACTGGCTTGACTACTAAGATATGTGAGTTAAAAGAAACTTTGTGGTGGTTGAGTGGTTAAGCTTGTTAGCATGAAAAATTTTCGGTAGCGATTACATTATATGGCGCAAAACTGATACCAAAAACATGTAATTGAAACAAAGTAGGCAAGTAATTTTATTTTTAACAAGATTAGACGTCTCTATTCATGACTGAAAGCCACAAATTTTTGTCTAGACAGGCATTTTTTACGACTTTTTAGAAATTTTATCGTTTGATTAAGAATTACTGAATTGATTAAGAATAACCGCACAGCAATTCTACCTTTGCACAAACGGACGCTTTTCTTCATCATAAATCTATCAACGTTAACGTAACTGGATCAGATCAGGAAGATGAAGACTTGAAATAATTGTTCCCATCGCTCGAATTGTCGCTTATCAATAAATATATGGAGCCGGGCTCTTCTCTCAATAAATATATGGAGCCGGGCTCTTCTCTCAATAAATATATGGAGCCGGGCTCTTCTCTCAATTTATTCATGGGGTCGGGCCCTTCTCTCAATAAAATTATGGGGCCGGGCTCTTCTCTCAATAAATTTATGGAACCGGGCCCTTCTTTCAATGAATTTATGGAACCGAGCCCTTCTTTCAATGAATTTATGGAACCGGGCCCTTCTCTTAATGAATTTGTGGGAGCCGGGCCCTCCTTTTCTCTCAATAAATATATGGAATCGGACTCTTCACAAAATATTTAATGGGGCCGGGCTATTCTCCTAATAAATATTTGAAACCGGGCTCTTCTCTCAATAAATTTATGGAACCGGACCCTTCTCTCAATAAATATATGGAACCGGGCTCTTCTCTCAATAAATTTATGGAGCCGGGCTTTTTACTCAATAAATTTATGAGGCTGGGCCCTTCTGTCAATAAATATATGGAACTGGGCTTTTCACTCAATGAATTTATGGAACCGGACCCTTCTCTCAATAAATATATGGAACCGGGCTCTTCTCTCAATAAATATATGGAACCGGGCTCTTCACTCACTAAATTTATTGGGCCGGGCCCTTCTCNACTCTGCAATTAGCTTACGATTGTTTACTTAAAACAGTTCGCATTATTAGCGCATTTTCTCATTTATGGAAAAAATGCACTATTGTGCTCGCCATGTCCGTCCATCCGTCCGTCCGTCAGTCCGTCCGTGACTTAACGTTTTCGTCGACGACAAAATGCGCTCTCTGTCACTAATTGCAGTGAGTACTGAGTTATATTGTTTTCATTAACTCCATATTTCGTCACCATGACGCATCTGCTCGTGAAAACTGAATGCGGAGAGCAGGCGCCCTTTCCTCGACCGCTTCCAGCACTCTCGCTTTCAAAGGGCATCGCTTAGGTGACAACAACCCGGTAGTAAAGACGAACATCTTCAGTCGGTCTTTGTCATTGGTTATTGATGAACCGGTAAGCGTTGAAGTATATTACGAAAAAAAATATTATTGAAATGGAAATCTCTACATGTAGTGCATGCATGTATTATACTATACGTTGTTATTCAGAGGCTTGAGTGGGAATGTTTGCGTATATTTTTTAGGTTACGGTTGAGTGGACGGTTTACGGTTAGGGTTTACTTGTTTGAGCGCTGGTTAAGTACACCGCTGAGAGTTTATCTTTAGGTCAGCATACAAATTCAATTGAACTTTCGATTGTGTTGTCGATCTCGGTCAGCGCTGCTTGCGTGAGATCATTCATGGTACGGATGATCTGGTTTAAATTAGGACTTTCGGATTGCTGGGCTATTCTTTCCCATCAGGCATCTACCGTTGAAATAAAGTCGATTAAACGTCATTTCAACGGGAAGAATACGTAGTCAACGTAGTTTCAAAGTTATTTAACTGGAAGAATAAAAATCGAGTGTAATTATCAAGGCGGTGAAGTAGCCAGTAGGCTGGGCTACTTGAACTAGCCTTCAGGCTAGCCTTCCTGCAATCAAATGCAATCAGGAGGATGACACAAGGAAGAAGATGGGAATAACCAACGGAACTTCAGCCTTGGCCTCCCGGCCTGTGACTTCGTATAATAGACACGCTAAGCGCTTTAGCGACATTGCCGTCTTACTCGTCCAGTGTTGCTTTTAAAGTTCCACAAACTTTGCGTTTCATTTGATTAAGGCGTCGTTATCTTATGAATAGATTAAAAGCAGAGGAGACACCCAGTATTCATCATATCATAGAGTATTCAGTGAAGATATGGTGAATTAATTTTATGTTTGCGTTGCTTTTAGACAGAACTTGTCATTTGGGCAGATTAATGAAAATTAGTACGTTAGCGAACTCGTGTTGTGAGTCCTAACGTTGTTACCACAGGACATTTTACTATCTAAAATCTTCTAATTTAATAGATTTTAACTAAAATAAACACTTTATGAAACGATTTTGTCTCGGGCTAATCACAATACCAGCACCCACTCATTACTTATCCACACACCTGTAAATTTCTTCACTACGTAACTTTAATCACAAAATGTTCTTGCAATATGAACCCTGTAGTGAGATCTGCGCCAAATTAATTACATGGTTATTAATTGCTCCTTTCACTGTATATACATAATATACTAATTAAGTAACGCACACTCAACAAAACAAAATGTAACTCAGTACTCACTGCAGTGAGTGACAGAGAGAGCATTTTCTCGTCGACGAAAACATGAAGTCGGACGGACAGACAGACAGACGGACGGACAGACAGACAGACAGACAGATGGACGGACAGACGGACGTGGCGAGCACAATAGGGGATTTTTTCATAAATGAGAAAATGCGCTAAAAATGAGTGGGTCATGTTGATAAAATATCAACTCACTTTCTTCCCCGCAGCAACTTATCGTACATATTATCCCCTTATCGTACATATTATATCCTTATCGTACATATTGTCCCCTTATCGTACATATTATCCCCTTATCGTACATATTGTCCCCTTATCGTACATATTATATCCTTATCGTACATATTATCCCCTTATCGTGCATATTATCCCCTTATCGTACATATTATCCCCTTATCGTTGATATTATTCCCTTTTCGTATATTGTGTTACCTTATCGCAACAGCTCTGCACTGCCTATTCAATAAAGTTCGAATCTTACTGCACACAGTTTATTTGATATATTTCTATTGCGGTCAACTCTGTTGAATTGTGCGTCCTTATTCTGTCAGTTCTTCCATAAAAGTTAATTATAACTTTTATTTTTTCGTAACAAAACGACAGAAACTATACTGTAAGGTATGAACTTTATTGAGATTGCTTTGCAAAAAAAAAACACCTTTTAAACTGTTATATATTGTAAGTTGTGCAAAAAGTTTTCGAGTGAGCAGCGCGCTACAAATAACTTTGGTGAGCAGCGCGCTACAAATAACTTTGGTGAGCAGCGCGCTACAAGTAACTTTGGTGAGCAGCGCGCTTCAAATAACTTTGGTGAGCGGCACACTACAAATAACTTTGGTGAGCAGCACGCTACAAATAACTTTGGTGAGCAGCGCGCTTCAAATAACTTTGGTGAGCAGCGCGCTACAAATAACTTAGGTGAGCAGCACGCTACAAATAACTTAGGTGAGCAGCGCGCTACAAATAACTTTGGTGAGCTGGGTGCTTCAAAAAATGAACAACTTCGGTGAAATCTGTAGAGTTTCTGGAGACATCGAAATCAGGAACCTAGACAGTGCTGTCATCTTACTATCGAAACATCCTCTAGTTATGTTATCAAGTTCTGTTGAACTAATTCAAGCAGAAAACACCTTTGTCATTGATTGGTTATGGAAAAAATAAGTCGTGATTAAGAACGTGTTGAATAATAGTGTAACTCAGTGAGCAAGTTACATTATCTTATGTTATTTAGCGTCTAAGCTAAGTTAATTTGAAACTTGAGCGAAAATGTCACGCTGTGCTAGCTTAAAAGTAAGAATAGATAGAGAATAACGTTTTTATAATTAATTAGTAGCATAGGACGCGTCGCGATGTTGAAGCCAACATGTGAGCATCAAGTACCAAAGTGTTCAATATCTCTATTTTATCCAAAAGTATTAAAGACAATTAATAATATTTAACGTTGACTCTTTCATCCGTGCTTTAAGACCTAAATTTTTTCACATGTTATCTTATCTGTGTTATGCGCATACCATATGCCACCCATACACTCTCATAATATTTGTGTTTCACAGGTTATATCCGGGTCACGTTTTCTGTCATCAATCAGCCAAACACGGTGCTTTTCATCCTCCACCGAGGGCGACAGCAACTCTACCGACGTCCCTGCCACGAACTCCTCTGCAGCACGCCCCTCTACCTCCTCTAAAATTCATTCCTCCACGTCCGTTGCCACTCATTCCTCTACCTCCGTTGCCACTCATTCCTCTACCTCCTCTACCACTCATTCCTCTACCCCGTCTACCACTCATTCCTCTGCCACTCAGTCCTCCTCGTCTGGCACCTCACTCTCCAAAGACGCTAAACCATTCAGCTGCGATCTATGTTCTTATCGCACGGATTTATTCCACAACCTAAAAATTCACTTACGCACGCACACCGGCGAACGCCCGTATGCGTGCCCGCTGTGCCCGTATAGAGGCACGCAACTTTTCCACGTGCAAAGACATATGCGCACGCACACGGGCGAAAAGCCGTACGCCTGTCAGTTGTGTGCGTACAGAAGTAATAGGAAGGATCATCTCACGGAGCACATGCTCGCTTCACATAAAGTTGACTACCGGACTCGCTCCACTGCTACCAACTGAGCTTTTGTTTAAAAATTGTACAAAATTTCCCGTAGTTTCATGATGTATCAAATCCTCAATTTTGGTTTGAGCATAATATTAGATATAGTATATTTTTTATTTAAAATTATCCCGGTGCCTACGGTACTGAGCTGTTTTGTACGGACTGTAAATAAACTCCTAGGTAATTAAATGAGATGTTGAATTTTCTTAATTTTTAGTTAGGAAATAAATGCAGACATTCTTTCTCTCCAATATTTAGCGTCCCATTCATGAGCAAGCGATTTCAGTTGTAAATGTCTTCTACATTAGCAGGTTTATTGATACCTACACTTTTCGTACGCTAGGATAAGACTTGTTCCTTGCCTCCATGAGTGCGATTGATGATGTAACATTCTAATATTTTAACGATATGTACGTCGTGTATTTTCACCTACGTTAATTTTTAAATTAATCCTAGTTTACGAAGATGTCGTGTTAGATGGACTTAAATGGACACCCTCCATTCAGTAGCTGTCACCCATCCCAGCTTCATCCTGCAACTACGATCAATTGTAGTATAACGTACAGTTTTTACGTACACAGTTTGATTTGTTTCATGTTAACATCTAATTTTGTTGAATTTAAGTCCTTAAGTGGTGTGTCCCGAGTTAGATAACCTACGCGTATTTACTGTATCTGTTTGTGAATTGCGATTCAATCGATCCCTGGATACCCACACTATGTATAGCCTTGATCATCAAAAGGAATTGGTTTCATTTTACATTAATTTTTTTGTGGTCATCGCTGTTTTTTCTGTTTTTAATTTAGTTTTTACCAAATGTCCTGAAATGGAGGACTTGAGGTATCTTGTATTCCGATTCTATAATAACAAATTACGGGGGCCATTAGTATTTTACTTTACAATTTCTTCTCATTAGTGTTCCGAGTCGTTCATTTCTGAGAAACTTCGCAACTTTCCATTAATTTACAATCGCGCATCTGTTTGAAATATTTAATACTACTAATTGTAAAAATTTTGTAAAAAAAGGCTGCGTATCTTATTTACAATCTTTTCGTCTATCCTATGTCACGATTGATTAACAATTCTTAGGTTACCTCGACTAGATGACGACTCAACGATAATATTAATTTTAATTTCTTTATATTCAAAATGAACATATCGTCAGGCAGGCAGTTCTTGTAGGCAAGGCAGTTGAGGGGTCAAATTTATATGTAGGAAGATATCGCATTTATTTTCTCAGTCTCACTCATGCAAGCGATCTCTTCTAAGAACGTCTTCGTTTCTATTGCTTCTCATTTGTTCCTTATTATTCCTTCGTCGCTTTGATATGTTAGAACTGCTCGTATCTTGACAGCCTCAGCTGTTGCAATTGAGGCGTTCTGCCTCTTGCGGCGATGAACGATTTTAACAACTGGTAACACAGTAACACAACTGGTAACACAGTAACCACAACTGGTAACACAGTAACACAACTGGTAACACAGCAACTACAACTGATAACACAGCAACTACAACTGGTAACACAGTAAAACAACAACTGGTGCAGTTACTGAACCGAGACGCAGTGCCATATTGACACCACTGCATTGAAAGGCTGCTAATGTGACAACGAAAAGAAAAAATAAAGTAAAAAATTTCTTGCATTCCAAATGAACGAATTTTCTTTTCCTATTCATAATTTTCCATATAAATTTTTCCTAATAGAAAAGATCGTTCATGAACTCATGGTTCACTCGGTATGGGGCTGATGAATATTTTGGCATGCAGGCTCATCAGCGGCACAGCTGTAAGTTTTATATCTCCATTCTAAACAAACGAATGCCTACGGTTTTCTTACAATGAATGCGCCATGTATGATTATTTGTTGTTAAACGGCAAATTAATATTTAAGTAGTTTTAAATTGCTTCTGCGCATTGCTGATGCCATTAGCGCGTAAGTTGTTACTGAGCCTGCGCCATTTTTTGAGTCAAGTAACCGATGAAAATACGAATACATTATGAATTAAAAAAGGAAAACAGTGAAACGAACTTTGCACGAGTTTGAATGCATTCAAATTTATAAACGATAAGTGACGCAATTATGCGACGATGTATTTACAGAACTAAGTAAAAACAGTTTTCATGCTATTGGAATCAAACTATTTTTTCGAGAATTCCATTTTAATGCCTCATGTGAGTGTAGAGCCCCGAGGAAGCTTCTGGAAAACTGATGAACATATATTTTGCTGGAGCCTTTTTGATGATTTTAAACTGTGCTTAGCTGTAGGACTAAGTAAATCTAATCTGATTGAATTTTTTACGTAAAAAATCATTTAAAATTTATAAGCAATCAATGGAATTTAAATTAATTTTGTTCTTATTTTAATTCTGATGAAAAGCAAATCACTAGTGGAATTATCGTGACTGGCTTGACTACTATGACATGTGAGTTAAAACAAACTTTTTGGTGGTTGAGTGGTTAAATTAGCTTGAGAAATTTTCGGTCGCCATTAAATCGTTTAGGCCGGAAATAAAATTTTTAATTCGTTGTGCCACCATGAAGCACAATTTGAATTCGAATTCTTATACTGTAATGAGGTAATTGACATTACATTATATGGCGCAAAACTGGTACCAAAGACATGTAATTGAAAGAAAATACGCACATAATTTGATTGGTAACAAGATAATGCGTCTCTTTTCACGACTGAGGGTCTCAAATTTTCGTCTAGACAGGCGTTTTAACGACTTGCTTGAAAATTGTATAGTTAAATTGAGAATTATTTATTTGATTAATATAAGCGCTCAGGAATTCTACCTTTGCACAAATGGGACGCTATTCTTCATCATAAATCTATCAACGTTAAAGTAACTGGATCAGATCAGGAAGATGAAGAATTGAAATAATTGTTCCCATCGCTCGAATTGTCGCTTTGACCTCAAGAATCTTTTTCTTTTGATGTCTTCTAGATTTGTTCTCAGCATCGAGGGCACGTATATATGCCATCGTGGCCTCTAAATGCCGTGGGACTCAAGCCTTCTTTGTGACGAGACCGTGTGCCACAAGCACGGCATTGACGACATTCTTCATGATGTATACCATGAGGTTAAATTCCTATACATTACTTGAAGCTTTGACTTTAATCGGAATTCTTAATTCAGAGTCTGCTGGATTGACGACGTGGTTGGTGGTTATGATTATCTGTTTTTTTTTCGTAATGATGCGTGTGCTATCTAATGAAGATAACAAGGGAGAAAATTTCACTTTCATGTGAAATATCCTTGCCATGTAAACAATCCAGTAACTATATACGCAGTTGAGTAGCTTGAAACTTGCTAAGGTATAAGAAACTGATTGATGCGTTTGAATATCTCAATCTTCGACTTCAGGAAAATCGGAACCTGCCCGAAATAGGTACGGACTAAAAAGGATCGATCTTCCAGCCGCTGAAATTTTATGGTATGAATTGTAAGGATAAGAAAGCATAAACGAACGTGTAATGGCTTTAAGCTTATTAAATAGTTCATTTAAGATGCGATTATGATTATATGAGAACCTCCATGCGATTATGATGATACGAATACCTCCCATTATTAGAATCTCCATGCTTGTGACAACGTTTGCCGTCATAATTTTCCGTAAATTTAGCCATAGTGAATTTTTTTTCTGGACCACGCAATGTTTTCTTTTTTAGAGTTCTACCGAGTAACCTGGCCAAATATCGGCAGAAAATCAGCACATTTCATTGATTTTTGATGATGATAACTCGTTCATCTCGGGGCAAAATTGAATATCTTTGAACTTATATAGTTAATTTTCATGAATCGCATGTTGATCATATGAATGAATACATGCATGTAAAATCTTTGTGAACAAGAAGTTAACCAAGATTCTTCTTGTATTCCCTACATTTTTGAACTGATGATGGAGCTTATCTCTGAAACGTTTCCGATAAAGATCAACTAATTCACTTGGCGTTTTCTTTACTTGAAATCTTAGGTGCCTAGGTGAATAAGAATCACGATTTTGAAAATAGTCTGTCATGTTACAAAACATGTTTTGCAGTAATTTGAGCAGATTAATAAGTATTCATGCATTAGAATAATATTATATGGTCATTATTAAGGGCTCATTTAGTTATTGACCTCATAACCATAAAATAATGGGGCAATCGCTTTTCAAAATGCGCATCATTGTAAAGAATTTGAAAGTAAATTAAAATTTTAACTTGGAATATTGTTTCTATCGCAATGTTGATAGTTTTCAAAGCACCTTAATTTCTAACAGCCTCAACAAATGCTACGTTAATTGGAAGCAATGGAAATGTTGAGGCAATCGAGTTTCCACTAATTTTGAGCTTATACTTGAATATTTAATTGAATATTTATCTTCAATTTCATTCACAGAAAAATAGTAATTTTATTTAGTGTGCAGCATTGATACTGAGCGACAATATTCTGAGCATATGTTATCTAAATATTTCAAGTCAAAGGTTATATCAGGAACACGTTTTTGCAGCCAAGCAATCTATTTACATTGTCTCAACGTCAATATAAGAAAAAAAAATATTTATTAAAATATTTCAATCACAGTAAATTTCTTACATTATTGGTGTCGAAATAAAAAATGAAATATTTATTAAAATATTTCAATCACAGATAATGTGTTACATTATTGGTATCGATTCTCACGTGATAATATCCCGAACAACTGACGCGTGGAAAACATATTATATTAACAATTATTTGACGCGTGGAAAATATTATTGTTCGTGCGCTGCTGAATTCCGGGATTTCTCACAGGCCGCAATCCTGAGATCGAGACGATCCATATGAGAGGATCCCAAGGTGAGCAGACTGGCCTCCAGGCCTGGGTTATTGGGATCCTGCAGATCTTCAGGGATCAGTGGAGATCCTTAGGGATCAGTGGAGATCTTTATGGGATCCGGCAGATCTTTAGGGATCAGTGTAAATCGTTATGGGATCCGGCGGATCTTTAGCATGAATTGAGTCCCTAATGCATGGGATCTGGCAGATCTTTAGGGATCAGTAGAGATCTTTATGGGATCCAGAAGATCTTTAGGGAGCAGTGGAGATCTTTATGGGATCCGGCAGATCTTTAAGGATCAGTGGAGATCTTTATGGGATCCGGCAGATCTTTAGGGAGCAGTGGAGATCTTTATGGGATCCGGCAGATCTTTAGGGAGCAGTGGAGATCCTTCTGGGCTCAATGATGTTTTTTGAGATGAGTGAGGATACTTATGGGATCAGTGGAGATCGTCATGGGATCAATGAAGATTCTTGTTGAAATGGGAAAGATCAGTATGGGATCAATCATTAAAATTTTGTGGGATGAGTAAAGATCCTTTTATTATGATTGGATAGGATCAAGGATTAATGAAGATCCTCCTAATGATCAATGAAGAACCTTAAGTGGAGATCTTAATATTATCTGTTAAGTTTCTTGTGGAATTAGACCTACGACCGAGCGATGAAACTGATCGAGTACAGCATTGAATGAGACAAGATTGCTTCTTGTTTCATTATACTAATAATTATGAAGCAATGAATGTCGATAATAATTCTATTTTGCGAGCGGTGAATGGTTCTTCTTGAATGCCGGTATGATTTGTACTGACGTACTTACTTCATAGTAATGTTCTAAATACGTAGATGGCTTTACGATGGACTGCATTTATATTTTAATTTTGCTGTTGAAACTTTTTTCTGTTAACTTGTGAATTTTCAATATTTATTCTGCTAAAATTATTACCGTCTCGAACGCCATCTATCTCTTGAATTTGCAATTACCGCTTGTACATATTTTATGTCAAACAGTAAGTTTCTTGATTGGGAAGTAAGTGTAAAAATGTATATTTTTCAACATTGAATCCATTCGTTCGATCATAATTCTTTTTTGTGATCTTTAGCGGTTCAAGTGTCCGAGTACGAAAACATTTGAATTTCACTGTCAAATAATTTAATATTAAAGCTTTCAGAAAAGAGAATTCTCGCCCCAAGATAATCTAGAATGCTAGTATTTACACAGATTTTCGGCACTGATGGCAAACATGCATATTTTATTTGGTATTAAATCAATATATTTAACAATTTACATTAAAAACAGGACATAAATATTTACGTATGAATAAATGTTATTTTATAGGAATATTTCATACCACGTGTTCAATAATTACAATAGCATCGTTACATACTGCGTTGAGTTTCGTAGCGTAATATCAATAGCGTATTTGGGATATTTTCTGCAATGGCAATTTGAGTTCCCTGATGACTTACAATTACGCAATAACCGACTTCAATTCACTTTGCTCGCAGCGGCGTTACGGTACATCGATTGATCAAATTAACTAATAAAAATTGAAGTGCACTTCCCTCTTTTTGACAATATTTTAGAT